CCACAATACGCCTTCTCAATTGATGGGGAGGGGGGCTAGCGGTGCGGGGGGGGGGGCGTATTGTGGAACCTGGCCTTGGGGCGGCAGGTGGAGTAAATCCGGCCCTGACAGCAGAGGAGAACTTAGGCAAGTCTGATAACACTGCCTGGGATTTCAGTGCAGCAGAAGCAGCATCGCCAGCTCCCCACCGGAAATTTGGGGTTCATTGGATTTCTGGAACAAATTTCCCTGTGCTCGCAGCATTCTTAAATAGAAAATACATGGAGACATGTGCATGTACTACAAATATTTACTGAATGTGTTTTCTATTTTTTTTCTTACTTTTTGCCATACATATGCTTTAAAGGAATGTAGAAATGTGTAGCTCTAATAATATGTTCAGTTACTCTTCTACATGGGCATGTACAGTATTTGCTGTTTATATGGACAGCAAACTCATCAAATAACTACCATGAGAGGTATATATATAAAAATATATAAAGACTGGGGCCCATTAATGTGCATCTCTACTGCCCTGTTTTCTAGCGTTCTGCTTGTCAGTATATTTCCACCAGCTCCATAAGTATTCTGAGAAATCACATTGTGATTGTATTCTCGACCTAGGTGAAGCCTACTTCTTTGGTCCCAGCCCCTACCATGTCAGTACATGAAACTTTATACGCAATAGCCATTTGTTCATTGTTCTCACCAGTTTCAGCATTGTTACTTTCTTTGGCTGTGTCAGCGTGCAAGAACTTGCTGAATAATGAAATTCTAAGTGGGGTCTGTGTACCCTAGAGAAACTCATTTACATACCTCTCAACTTTCTGAGATGAGAAAAAGGGACACCTTCTAGCAGAATGTATTTAGGCAATGGGCACACCTCCATTCATGAGGTCCATTAGGAATTTAAAAGGCAAATATATTGGTTAAACCCAGAATTATCTTCTTTTCACCATGACTTTTACCTTTCATACTGTTTTTTAGAAAAGATAATTTAGAGATAGGATTAAAGTTTTTGTACAGAATTATACTTTTGGCAGTTAAATAGAACCTTTTCATAGATATCTGTACAACAGACCAAAAAGTGGGACAACTGAGGGGGAAAGAGAGACAGAGGGATGTGGTTCCAAATGAGGGACAGAGTTAGGAGGTATGCAGTTTATCAGTAGTAAGAGGGCCTAGCGCTAACTGTCCACCCATAGCTAAGTTCCAAGGTCACCTACTGAGTTACACCAATATGCCATGAGTGGGCCTTTACTTTTTGTGGAGCCCCTGTGCTCTATGTAGCTAAACAGGTACATTATGATGCCCACTATAGATAACATAAGGTATGGAAAGAGTGCTAAAGGTAAATGTGCTTAAGTAATAAAGGTATAAGTTCTTGGCACTCATAGACAAGTCAAGTTTCCGGGTTTGAACCTGTATCAAGCAAGTTGAATGGTTTCTGTGGACAATATTTACCTTTACCACAACATGCCCATAAATATGCAATGTTCTAACTAGAGTTGCACGGAAATTTTGGCCGCCAAAACATATTGGTTGAAAATGGCACTTTTTGTAAAATGCCGAAAATGCCATCTTTCAGCTGAAATAGCGGTGCATCCCTGGTTTCTCTACTCCCCGCTTGGTCCTGCTCTGTGTCCCCTCTGACAAAGTGCAGCGTCCAGCGGGGAGGAGAGAAACTGTTGCAGGAGGCCGAGCGGTGCGGAGGAGGAGAGCGCTGTGAGCAGCCGGCGTCTCTCCTCCCGCACCGCTCAGCCTCCTGTGACAGAGACTGGTGTTGTGGGCGTGGAGACATTTGTCAGCTGTAAAGGAGGTCGCACCGCTCGCTCAGCATCCTGTGACAGCAGTACAAGCACTCAGTGATCGCTGAGTGTTAGTAAATGATTGAGGACAGAGTATGTTTACTCTGTCCCCAATTATGAATAAATGGGAAGTGATCTACATTACTTCCTGTTCATTCATGATTGTGGACATGGTAAACATACTATCTCCACAAGTTATGAATGAACAGGAACACTCAGTATAGAGGTTTCCTGTTCATTTATAACAGGGGTTGCAGAAAAAAGAGATTGAAGGCTCTGTGTTGTCAATCCCTTTTTCTATTTTAAAAGGGAAGTATCAGGGATCTGTTTAGACCCCTAATATTTCCCCGAAGCCCCTAAAAGTAAAGTAAAAAAACAAAAATATTTACTAAAAATAAATAATTAAAAATAAAATATTAAAAAAATTGTTAAAAGGTTAGGAAAAATTTATTTTTTTCTGTTTCGGCCTATTTTATTTTCAGTTTTGCTTCGGTTTTAAAAATGTAATTTCGGTGCACCTCTAGTTCTAATGCATGTAAGTGCATTTGTATCTTTAACACTATGCTATATACAGGTGAAACTCGAATAATTAGAATATCGTGCAAAGTTCATTTATTTCACTAATGCAACTTAAAAGGTGAAACTAATATATGAGATAGACTCATTACATGCAAAGCAAGATAATTCAAGCCGTGATTTGTCATAATTGTGATGATTATGGCTTACAGCCCATCAAAACC